TCATGGCTTCACTGCGACGATCGTACACTGCATTACTGTATTTCCGGATAAACATCGATTGATACTGATTGAATCAAAAGTGAAAGTGAATCTATAGAGAAAATATTACGGATTTGCAAAGTGAGCAGGGGTGATGCTGAATAATCATAGAAAAAAGAAAGTAATCCATTTTCCGTACACAAAAACCGAGTTAAGTAAAAGCCATAATTTATCTTGATGATTGCATCAGGTTAATAAGATTCTGCCTTAATCTTTTTTATAACGAGCACAATACAATTTTCCATCAGTATTAGATTGTACGTGTACGCAATATTTTGGAGGCAATATTTTGGAGGCATGAAATAATGTTTTGGTGAACTTTTCTGGAGAGAACATTCCCAAAATAATTCTCATGAGAATAATTATTTTTTGTAAGCCATTCTTGTCCCGAGTTGTGTTTAATATGGAGTATATATTTCAGAATTCCGCATTTTATCCAGAAAAACACTATTATTTGAAGTTCTGTACCAATTTACCTCAAATAAAATTCGCAATTCGGTTTTTGAGGGAAAATTCGGGAAAAATTGTATTCCCTGTATTATATCCTAGTCTCCTGTAGTAATTAATGTTATAATACAGGCAGTAAAATTTTTCCACGCATAGATGCATAAATAAAATATGATTAACTTTCCATCCCTGTCATATTTCTAGCATTCGCATAATCGTAATAATTCAAAATTTCACCTCGAAAAAAGGTGACAAGTAATTTACTTTGAGAAAATAAATGAAAAGTATCCATGACGAATAGAAGTGTGATACCAACTCCATTAAAAAAAATAATTGAATTCAGCATGTATTCAAGCCTAAATTAAAATTTCTGTCCATTCTACAGTCAAGGGTTTGAGATATTCTGGTTTATAAGTGAATGGTAAATTAATTCAAATACCACGTAAATCAAGCTGGATTTTTTTTACATTTTATAACTGCATATATGATTCGCATCGAATTTTTCAAAATAAAATTTTATAAGAATTTCGCATTATACTCTTGCGAGTAGAGCATTTCCAAAATTTAATCTAAAATCCGCGCAAGATAACTTATTGGCGGTTTGGACACTTTTCCGAGAGAAAATTTGCGTGAAAAATATTTTGACATCATTTAAAAAATTTCGCACTCGACTCCCTCGTTTCGTGTACAGTCCATTGCCTTTTAGTATTTTTTAACTGCTTACCAATAATGTAACGAACAACGCAGTTGGTTTGCTCACTAACTCTAAAGGCCCTGGGTCGCCTGTAAATTAGACTGAGCAAAGTAGAGAAGCCATCGGAAAATCTCGAGCGGTGGGATCAATTATTTTGCTGCGGGGATGGAGTCCGTGCTTATCACAGCAATTAAATCCACCCACGCTTCACCGATCACCCAAAAACAAAAAGGAAAAAAAAAAGCCATAATAAAAGGTTTTATGACCTGTCGAGAGGAAAATTAATGACTCGATTTGATTCGCGTCCAGGAGCCAGGGAATCGTCATCCAGACGACTTCGGGTGATCTCTTTTATTTTATTTTTTCGCGACAATGATTGTTGAGCGATTGATCGTTCTTGTGGCAGCATTGATGGAAACTCGGTTGGTCGTCGCTGCGAATTACGCGTATTCCGTGCGTAGGCCTGCCTGGGCTCGACGTGACTTGGAGCCCGTGGCACAGATGAGCGTGCGCCGCTTGCCGCAGAAAGCTGTGGTCAAGGCCGGATTCTAAGGACCTGACCGACTCGGGTCCCGACGGGCCAGACTCGTTGGTGGTGGACACTCTGGAAATAAGTACTAGTACTTTTATAGTCAAGCTTCTAAACTTCTCAATACAGGTACAGGTGGTACCCTGCAATGTTTGACCCTATAGGATTTGTTGCTGGAGAGGGGTTGAGTTGAAAAGTGGTCAAATTGCAAGACAGCGTCAAATGGCATGTTTTCTACATGGCACTTGATATTTTGTGCCTCTCTGCAGGTCAAATTGTGGGGCAGAGGTTGAATTGCAAGTCAAACTAATAGAAAATTCAACAGTCAAATTGTAGGATGGTCAAATTTTGGGAGGTTGAATTGCGGGTTACATCACCCATAGTACCCCATGAAATTTGACCCTATTTTTGGCCAGGTTAGGGTCAATTTGACCCTAATCTTTTGCCAGGCTACAGTCAAATTGTGAAACAGTCAAATTGCAAGACAATGACAAATGAGATGTTTTCTATGCAAAATTTGATGTTCTGTGTCTCTGAGTAGGTTGAATTGTGGGGCAGATGTCAAATTGCAAGTCAATCTCCCAGCAAATTTCACTGACAAATTGTGGAATGGTTCAATTGCAGGATGTTGAATTGCAAAGTAACACCTGTAGTGTCTAACTTGTATATTTACGGCACTACAAATATATTTGTTACTGCTTGCATCACCAACTAAACACCAACTAAACATTAATGAAGCATAAATGATTTTTATTGTGCCTGATATGTTTTCAAATATTTCCAAAACACAACCCAAAATCCCTAAACCAGTGTTCCCCAACCTGTGGTCCGCAGACCAGTGCTGCTCCAAAGAGATTTTTTGCTGGTCCCTGGGAAATATTCAGCATAATTCATTTAGGATGAAGTCTGTTCTTTTTGCCCAAAATTTTGGAAGGGTTTAACGTCAACTTAAGAGGTTACTTATTTTCAACCGAAAAGAAGATTATCGTGAAGTCTCTTTAAAAGTTGACAACTTTATTTAAGAACTTAAAAAGTGAAGTTCCTTAGTATGACGTTCGAGTTAATTCCAATGGTTTAGTGACATTCTTAACTGCATTTTTCTTGTAAATATTTGCCTAATAAGATTCAAGCAAAACTTTGGGGAGTCTGAAAAAATTTATGGAACTTTGCCAATCCACAGAACATTTTTCTGGGATTTGCTGGTCCAAAGGCCCAAAAAAAGTTTGTGAAAACTGTCCTAAACCATTCAAAAATGATCATGAATGACCATTTTGGAGGAGACTTGAAAAGAGTCAACTGTGCGTGACAAAAGCACCAGTCTAGTATTCAATGTACACAATGTTTTAATGGAACTGTTGGTATAGATATCCATAATGGGTTCGAGACGATGACGTATACTTAATGGTGTGTGGTCTCCTAACTAGAAGTTTAGGCCAAAGGGCGGAAAGACTGAGATTAATTCCTCAAATATTAGTACAAATTTACATCACCCAGTAGCTTTCCTAATTCTGGAACTTGCCCTTCGAGATAAGTTGTTTCAAGAGGTCAATTTTCAAACCCGCATATTCCTGTAAAACAAAAATAGGTAACTCGGCTTCGCAACAGGTCAACCTGTTCCGTTTTTTTTCACATGTAACATTTCGCACTGGTTTCAAGATCTAAAAACAGTGGTTTCACAGATTTTGCTATAAAGATATTTTCCACACATGCACGCTGTAAAACAACACAAGTGTGAAAAACCTGTTTCGTATGAGATGTTCGAGAATAGCTTTCATAATTTAGTACTGATTGAAACCCACACCTCAAAAGTTACAGAAGCTTGAATTATCTTAGTTTCCACCGGCAAGTTTTTTTTTATCCTCACTAAATCGAAAAGACGTATGGGTCAGTTTGATCTCGCTTTTAAAACTTGTAAAGAAATTTAAACTTCGTGTTTAAAGCAGTATCCTTAAATTACTACTACTCGATTGCTTGACTTTTAGGGAAAAAGAGAAAGACTTTAAGGAACTCCTTTTTAAGAGTAAATTTTTCGATTTTAGTACAAAATTCCGAATGCGTTCTTTATAACTTAAATAAAACGTTTTACAGCTCATTAACTACCCTCACTCTCAACCAAAACAAAGTTTAAAGCTCTTTGGAAATCAAATACTCTTAAATTGTTAAATAAGGCCCTTTATGAACTGTGATAATTTTTACCTCTAGATCCGCATGAAATTACCGAGACGCAAATAAAAATGGCTATCTTCGATGTGCATGGTGGGCCAAAAGAGTTTGCCAAATTTTGAGGATGAAAAATTCGGAATGTATTAAATCAATGCTTATTTTAGACGAGTACAATTCCATGGTTATTTCAGCTTCATTGATTCGTTCTACAGAGCGATTTCAAATGGAAACAAATGTCCCACAACTGCATAATTTTGACTAGGTTTCTGGACGTTCAAATCTGCATTTAAATCAAATCTACATTTTTATGTTTAAAAAAAAAATTACGGTATCATGCAAGGCTATGAAGGATTTATAGTTACTCATAATCAAAGGTTTCCGGGCCTGATTTAGTTTAATCTAGCAATGAATTATTATGAGAGAGGTTATGCAAACATATTTTACACTTTTTTCGGGCTGAATTTCTTGCTCATAAAAATTTTAGAAACTTTCATGATTAGGATAACTATCATACAGTATAAATTTATATTTTTTATGATAAGACGGAAAGACGGGCACTTTAGTTTTCGCAGTAGTAAAGAAACACTATTAGGACCCTTGTAAACGCATTGAGTACTCTGCGGGAACTGTGCTTAGGGGTAAGGACCCCAATTAATCCAAGAAGCTGATGATGTATCTCTTATTCAGAGAAAATCCTCTCGCTTTCATCACTTTTCTTTATGGCTCATATCTTTCTTCCAGCAATTGAGATATAATCTGCAGAATTCAATTATATTTCACAGCGCACAAGAACACCACAGGTGTCTCGTGCCAGAAGTGCTGTTCTGCGACAAGTTCTTCGTTTTGGCGATGAAATTCAGCGCAAAGGACCGTCTCCACAGGCCAGAAGCAACCGCATCGACGGATATGACGTTTTCAGCGAGAAAACAGCAGTAAGTAATTTTTAATTCGAACCAAAATTGTTAAAAAATTTTCATTTTTGAAAAAAAAAATAATAATCCATGGCGAGGGAAAAAATCAAATTTTGGCAAAACAGGTGCATAAATAAGGGTTTTATTAATTGTCCTGATTCTATAATTTTCCCCAAAATTGTAAAAAATTTCCCACTTTTGAAATAAAATTAATAATCCATGCTGGTGAGGTAGAAAAAATTAATTTTTGGCAAAACAGGTGAATAAATAAGGGTTTTATTAATTTTCCTGATCCTATAATTTTTTCTGTGTTTTGCACCGCCTTTCAAAATGTTTTCGACCAATTAATTTTTTATAATGTATCCTGAGAACATCTAGAGTTCGTATATGGAACAATAAT